GAAAGAAACTACCCTTCGGTCACAAAAAATGTAGTGAATGAGAGTAAAGCCTTATTGAGCTCGGAAGGCTTCCAGTATGACAAAGGCAATGGATTTAAATCCTTTGAAACTTAATCAAAATAGGCATTATAGGACATCAAAACATCAAAATAGGCATTATAGGACATCAAAACATAAAAACATTGCATGCATAGAATGTTTTTTAGACCAGGTCCTATTACTGCTTTCAAAAAATAAAAAAATAAATAAAATAAAAATTTTCTCTTCCGCAAAACGAGACCGCCGTCTGGGGCATCCAGACCGCCGTCTCGGTTACCCGACAGGACGAGACCGCCGTCTGGACCAACCAGACCGTCGTCTCGTCGCCAGCAAAAACGAGACCGCCGTCTCGGTGCACCAGACCGCCGTCTCGACCTGGAAGAGAAACGAGACCGCCGTCTCGTCCACCCAGACGGCGGTCTCGATCTGGAAATTTTCCCTATATATAGGGGGCGCGGCTTTGGGCTTCCTCACAACTCCCTTCGCCTCCAGAGCCTCCTCTCCTTCAACTCCTGCACTCCCAAGCTTCCTCTAGTCAAGATGTTTGGCAGAAGCGCTTCCAGAAAGAGAAGGAGCACTGCTGGTGCTAGTAGTTCCGCAGCACCACCACCCCAAGACCCTTCCCAGCTAACGCCACAGCATTAGGCCCGTCTTGAGAACATCCGGACCTACCAGTGGCACCCTATGCTCAAGCTGGATTTTAACATCCTGGCTGAGTTCGGATGGGAGGACAACGTCCGGGCCCATCTAGACAGCATTGGGTGGGGATTCCTGCTGCATCCACCACCTGCACATGTGTACCCACAGGCGGTGCTGGAATTCTTAGCCTCCGTCTCCTACTCCGAGAGCCCCTCCACGGTCCCAGGCCTACAGCCCACTAAGATGGTGACATATTTTATGGGTGGGCAGTACCAGACTTCCATCCTCAGAGAATTCAACGTAGCCATCGGGTTCGTCCGACCCGAGGAGGCCATGACCCAGGAGTACCGTGACGCCATCTGCTCACGGCTTACCAACCTCACTGCTGCCGAGATGTGGCGTGAGCTCACGGGAGCCACCACGCTGCCCACGCTAATGAGGGGATCTGCGCTTCCCCCAGCACTCCGCATCTGCCATAAGCTGCTGGCTGGAACTATACACGGAAGGAAAGAGAGCCAGGGCAAAATATCCCTCCCTGACCTCTTCATACTATACTTGCATGAGCCAAAGGCGGCGCGCAACCCGGGTACTTCTTCACGAGAGCCCTCAAGGACTTCGGGAACAGTCTGCGGGGCCGTCCTCATTGCTCCCCTCATCACCCCCTTGGCGAGAAGGTTTGGGTGCCCTGGCGGGAAGAGGCTGGCCCACGATCTGCGACCGAATCCATCGGCGGGTCGATCTTGGTCGAGCATGGGAAT